CACAAGGTCAGGCCATGGGTCCAAGCACCTGTGAGTCTCGCTCTTCTTTCTTTGCTGTAGCTACTCATGGATGTGTAAAGAAGGAACTCTGGAGGAGGCGTAGGGAGGTTATATTACCTCTCTGTGTGGCACTGGGCAGACCTACTCTGGAACCCGAGATACTATTCTGGTCACCCATGTTCAAGAAAGATGAATTCAAACTGAAACAGGGCAGAGAAGATCAGCAGCATGGAAAGCTGATCTGGAGCCTGGAGAACTGGGGTTGGTCAGCCTCTTAGAACCCAGCTGGAGTGGGGCTCTGGTTACTCTCTATAAATACAGCAAGGGGTGAATACCAGGGAGGTGAAGAGCTATTGAAGCTGAAGGACAATGTTGGCACAAGAACAAATGGGGATAAACTAGCCAGGAATCAATCTAGGCTGGACATTAGTAGGTCTCTAATGATCAGAGGAGTTAGGTTCTGGAACAGCCGCCCAATAGGAGCAGGGTGGACAGAGAACCTAGCTGTCTTTAAAATGGAGCCTGAGAAATGTATGAATGGGATTATATGATGTTTGATTGCTGCGATACCAGGGGACTGGACTCAGTGACTCAGGACGTCCCTTCCTCTGCTATGTCCCTATGGTGCTTCCCTCATGTAAGCTAGACACCATGTGGACGGACACTGGGATTTCCCCAGGAGTTTAGGGGAGTGAGGTGCCAGATCCCACTGAAATCCGAGGGGACCAAAGGAGTGTGCTTTGTGTTCAGACAAACATGCAGGATTCGGGCCCAGGCTGGCTCTTGTGTTGCCCCAGCTTGTTCTCCCAGTTCAGCTCATAAGCCCTTGTCTTGACAGCAGGGCTGGCAAGTGACTTAACTCTGTTTACCAGGAAGCTGGAGTTTTATTTAATCTGATCCATTCTCCAGTATCATCCTGCAGGGGTATAAAGCAGCCAGTCATTTCATCTCTAAGGGACGGGCTCCAGCGGGATTCATATCTCGGCACTGGAAGGCAATGGTGCCAACCTTCCCAATTGTATTGGGAGTCTCGTGATAGTTGGTGCTTTGCTGGAACCCCAAGCACCTGGGATTAGGTGATACCCCCAGATTCCCTTCTGGTTATAAGGTGGCTATCTAGACCTCACGGTTGTGGAGAAAAGCTGGAAAATGTGAACCCTCAAGACTCCAGAATCAGAAAGCAAAGAGAACCCAGATCTATTATTTTTAAAAATCTCATGATTGTTAAACCAATCTGTAGATTTTAGAGGGCCTGATTCCTGATTTCGGGATGCTTGGGGTTGGCAACGCTGGAGATGCCGTGGCTGAAGTCTCTGCATCAACCCCCTAAATGTCAGTAGCCCAGCCCCCGCCCTTCACTACTCTCTGGGCACATCAGGGGCAACACTTTAAACATTTTAAAGGGGTGGACCTGGCAACCTGACCATGAGATCTCAATGTTCCCACTCCTTGGTATCATATGGGCCCAGGTTCTTTCTGGCTGCAGGGACATTTAAGCACATGGCTTGTGTGGTGCACACAGGCCGGAGTGCTATCTGTCTTTGTGTACATAAAATAGACAGAGATGGGAAGGACTCAATGCACAATTTCATACCAAGTGACTCTCCAGTCCAGAAATCTCTTAAGATGAGAGTCAGCGTAAGGGACTGGGGCGTAGGCGGTCGCAGCTAGTCTGAGGTCTGCCCACCAGGGACAGGAGTTGCCAGGCCAGAGTTAGAGGACTCACAAGGCCAGGTTCCATAAACAAAAGTCAGGCCAGGGTCAGAGATGCCCTTCCAGCGGGCGGATGAAACACAGACTCCAGGGCGGGTTCATTCAGGGCAGGCCTGGGCGAGAGTGCTGCCTGGCTGGCTTCTGGGCCCTGCTATGTGCGTGTCCCTTCACAGGAACTCCACTGCAGGTAATTGAACCTCCACTGGTGTAGCCAACAGTAGCATAAGGCCCAGGGCTGGGACCTCAGGACTGCTAATGAACATACCCTATGCCCAGGATACTCCCACCAGGAGGCACCTGCAGTGCCTTCCAGCCAGCCAAGCTAAACTTCCACAGGCGTCCCTTCACGAAAGCCACTGGGAACAGCACTCCTGGCTGGGCTGCCTGATTGAACGCCAGTCCTCTCTGCATCTAGAGGAGTGACCCTCTATTGCCTGAATTAAGGGGACAAACTTAGCTGGTCAAAGTCTGTAGCAGCCTCATGAAGCAGCCACTTAAAGGGTGACAAAGAGCCAGATTGTGTTAGCATGGTTACACAAGCATTTACAGAAGGATGGGATTGTGGTAAAGGCACATGACTGGGTAACAAGACAGCACAGTTCTATTCCTGCTAATATGCTGTGCAACCCTTGGGAACTAAAAATAAATGGTAGCTTAAGTATAAATCATCATGACTTGGTCACATTCATAATATGTAAGCAGAATAAAGACCTGACCAATAATATATATACTTGGTGCCTTAATAAGGCCAATTTCACAAAGCTGAAAACTATGAGCCAGTTCAGCTAGGAATAAGAATTGAATCGACAAAATGTGAATGATAACTGGGAATCTTTTAAGAACACCTTACAAGATGCCCCAAAAGCCACAATCAAGGCCATACTGGTTAAAAAAACCATCCTGGAGTAGAGGAGAAGTGAAGGCAGCTGCAACAAATAAAAATAAAAATATAAAAGTGCCATGAAGGGGAAATTGATAGTAATGAATATAAATCAGAAGTTAGGAACTGTAGAAAATTGATAAGGGAAGCAAAGGGACGCAAGGCGAATTCTACGGCCTGCAGAGTTAAGGACAATAAGAAGGAGTTTTTAAAATATATTAGGAACAAAAAGGATCCTGACAATGGTATTGGTCCATTGCTATACGGAAATGGTATAGTTATCAATAATAATGCAGAAAAGGCAGAAGTGTTCATAAATGTTTCTGTTCTGTATTTGGGGAAAAACAGATGACATAGTCTCAACATATGGTGATGATAGCACTCTTTCTATTCCACTAGTATCTCTGGAGGATGTTAAACAGAAGCTACTCAAGTTAGACATTTTTAAATCACCAGGTCCAGATAGCTTGCATCCAAAAGTTTTAAAACAGCTGGCAGAGGAGCTTGCTGGACTGTTAATGTTGCTTTTCAATAAGTCTTGGAACACTGAGGAAGTTCCAGAAAACTGGAAGAAAGCTAATGTTGTGCCAACTTTTAAAAAGGGTAAATGGGATGAACAAGAAATTGTCAGCCTGACATCAATCCCAGACTGGATAATGGAGTGGCCGATGCAGGACTCAATTAATAAAGAATTAAAGGAGGATAATGTAATTAATGCAAATTAACCTGGGTTTGTGGAAAATAGATTCTGTCAAGCTAACTTGATCTCTTTTTTTGATGAGATGATGAGTTTGGTTGATAAAGGTCATTGTGTAGAAGTAATAGACTTCTGTAAGGTGTTTGACTTGGTACGGCACAACATTTTGATTAAACAAGAATGATATCAAATTAACATGGCACACATTAAATGGATTAAAAACTGACAGGTCTCAAAATGTAACTGTAACCTGGAATCATCATTGAGTGGGTGTGTTTCCAGTGGGGTCCCTCAGGGATTGGTTCTTGGCCCTGCGCTATTTCACATTTTTATCAATGACTTAGAAGAAAAGGTAAAATCATCACTGATAAAGTTTGAAGATGACACAAAAATTGGTTGAGTGGTAAATAATGAAGAGGACAGGTCACTGATTCAGAGCAGCCTGGATCCCTTGGTAAATTGAGTGCAAGGAAACAACATGCATTTTAATATGGCTAAATGTAAATGTATTCAACTTGGAACAATGAATGTAGACCATACTTACAGGATGGGGGACTCTATCCTGGGAAGCTATGACTCTGAAAAAGCTTGGAGAGGGGGAGGTGGATAATCAGCTGAACATGAGCTCCCAGTGTGATCCTGGGTTGCATAAACCGGGAAATCTCTAATAGGAGCAGATCTCTCTATTTGGCACTGGTACGGTCTGCTGGAATCCTGTGTCCACTTCTAGTGCCCACAATTCAAGAAGGACACTGATACATTGGAGGGTATTCAGAGAAGAGCCACAAGAATGACTGAAGTATTAGAAAACCTGCCTTATCGTGGTAGACTCAAGGAGCTCAATCTATTTAGCTTAACAAAGAGAAGGTTAAGGTTAAATTGATCATAATCTATAAGTATCTACATGGGGAACAAATACTTAATAACGGGCTCTTCAGTCTAGCAGAGGAAGGTCTAACACAACCCAATGGCTGGGAGTTAAAGCAGGACAAATTCAGAATAGAAAAAAGGTACAATTTTAACAATGAGAGTAATTAACCATTGGACCAATATAGCAAGGATTGTGGTAGATTCTCCATCACTGGTTATTTTTAAATTACGACTGGCTGTTTTCTCAAAGCTCTGCTCTAGGAATAATTGTGGGGCAGGTCTCTGGCCGGTGCTGTGCAGGATGTCAGACTAGGTGGTCACAGTGGTCCCTCTAGCCTTGGAATCGATGTGCCTTAGTTTTCCCCTCTGTTTAAAGGGGCAAATTATCCTCACAGCGCACCCCAGAGAGCTGGTGAGACTGGATTCATTCCTCTTTGCAAAGTGCTTTGAGATCCTCGGGTCCCTAGCCAGCAAAGAGCCAGCAGAATCAGCTCCTACCTGCACCTTCCTTACAGCAGCCCCGTGTGTGCGTCAGGGGGCTGGGGATGTGTTGAGGGAAGGAAGGGGCAGGGAAAGAGACTGCTTGGAACAGGCTGGTTCCTTGGGGACTGCAGCCAGCTGGCACAGTTTAGAGAAGCCCTAAGTCTGTTCTTACCTGCATCCAGAGATAGGCCGTACCTGGCTCCTGATGCTGTATGCAGCAGAGAATGTGGCCCCAGAATTCCTCATGGCTGCAGCATCTCATCAGCTGTGGGCCAGTAAGAGGGGTCAGTGCCCCAGCTGGGGTATGAGGGGTTGGGACTGCCCCAAGCCTGACTGCCTCCTTTTGTCTCCTTCCAGCTCTAACCTGACCAGAATCCCCTTTCCCACCACCTCGGCCTTAGTATTTCCTTCTTCCTGCCCCCGTCGGTGCCCAGGACCGTTACCATGGAGAATGAGCAGCTGCAGGTCCCACCTCCCTCCAGCAGCACCGCCAGCAGCAGCAGCAGCAGCAGCGGGCGCCAGCCGGGGGCCCAGATCTCCGTGTACAGCGGGATCCCAGACCGCCAGACTGTCCAGGTAAGGAGCTGCAGGGTGCGGGTGGGATCCAGGCTCTGCTGCTACAGAGGTGCCAAGGACTGGGCAGGATCCGGGGTGCCCTAGAGCTGAGTGTCACTCTTGGTTGGCTGGGATGGGAGAAAATACCAGGCAACCCCCATGCTCCCCATTCACATCCTCTTAGAGACCCTGCTCGGGACACTGAGACCCCGGAGCCCTGGTGCTGACGGGACGAGCTCTGCTCACTGCGATCCCTGAGGCACAGTGCTGACGGACGAGCTCGGCACACTGAGACCCCGGAGCCGCAGCGCTGACAGGTCAAGCTCTGCACACTCAGACCCACGAGGCCCGGCGCTGATGGGACGAGCTCTGTGCACTGAGATCCCAGCGCTGACCGGACAAGCTCTGTATCACATGTATCCGTGATCCGTTGGTACCAGTGAGGCTCTATACACCCCAGCCCTTCGGCGCCTCCTTCTGGGTGAGATGAGGGACACTTGCACCCTCCCCACAGGCATTGCATGAGAACATGGGGTTGGCTGGGCAGTTGGTTCTATTCATCCAGAGGCTTTACCCCATCCTGGTGCTTTCATTTCTGATGGGGCCTTGACCCCTTAGAAAAGTCCTGCAGAGCAATAGGCCTGAACCTAGCAGGAGCTATAGAAATGATTCTGCGATTCTGTATGTTTGTCAGCAAGTGGCTCCCTCCGCTAGGCTCCGTGGCTGGGGCATCCAGGGACAGCTTTTCTGTGAGAGCCAGTGGGACTTTTCCACTCACAAGCCCTGGGGTCTCTTTCCTTCTGGTGCACTTGGAATTTCTCCCTGCTTGCCTAGGGAGCCATCCCCAGTCAGGGGACAATCAGCACCCAGTCAGCTCTCATGGTTACTGGGCTCCCAGTCCCCGCTGCTTCCCCCCACAGCTTCAGACATTCTGGGATTCCCCGGTTTTGCAGCCAGAGCAGGGCCAGGCCCCTTTGACCAGCTGCATACAGCAGCCCCCTCGTCAGCACCCCGTCAGGTTGTAGGGGCTGTGGTCAAGCAACGCCCTCTACTGTACTCCAGGCCTCTGACCATGAGAAAGGTAGAGAAAGGGTCCAGAGTGACCTAGACAAATTGAAGGATTGGGCCAAAAGAAAGCTGATGAGGTTCAACAAGGACAAGTGCAGAGTCCTGCACTTAGGACGGAAGAATCCCATGCACCGCTACAGACTAGGGACCAACTGGCTAAGCGGCAGTTTGGCAGAAAAGGACCTGGGGATTATAGTGGATGAGAAGCTGGATATGAGTCAATAGTGTGCTCTTGTTGCCAAGAAGGCCAATGGCATATTGGGCTGTATAAGTAGGAGCGTTGCCAGCAGATCGAGGGACGTGATTGTTCCCCTCTATTTGGCGCTGGTGAGGCCTCATCTGGTGTACTGTGTCCAGTTTTAGGCCCCCCACTACAGAAAGGATGTGGACAAATTGGAGAGAGTCCAGCGGAGGGCAACGAAAAGGATCAGGGGGCTGGGGCACATGACTTACGAGGAGAGGCTGAGGGAACTGGGCTTGTTTAGTCTGCCGAAGAGAAGAGTGCGGTGGGATGGGCGGGCGGATTTAACAGCAGCCTTCAACTACCTGAAAGGGGGTTCCAAAGAGGATGGAGCTCGGCTGTTCTCAGTGGTGGCAGATGACAGAACAAGGAGCAATGGTCTCAAGTTGCAGTGGGGGAGGTCTAGGTTGGATATTAGGAAAAACTATTTCACTAGGAGGGTGGTGAAACACTGGAATGGGTTCCCTAGGGAGGTGGTGGAATCTCCATCCTTAGAGGTTTTTACAGCTCAGCTTGACAAAATCTTGGCTGGGATGATTTAGTTGGGGTTGGTCCTGCTTTGAGCAGGGGTTTGGACTAGATGACCTCCTGAGGTCCCTTCCAATCCGAATCTTCGATGATTCTACGTCCCTGGGGCTATTTGCCCCAGTTCCTACTGGAATAGAGAATCTGTCCAGATGTACCTTGAGGGAGGCGGTGAGCTTTCACAACCATGGCCCCGATACCCCTACCCAGTGTGAATGGCCTTCCTGAACTTCAAAAGATTTTAGAACATTACGCCATTTCCCAAGAGAAATTTTGTGGAGCAGGTGGCAGGGGGTGCAGATGGGGAGTGAGGGGGAGGCAGCAGGAGAGGGGTGCAATATCCCCCCTCTCCTCAGGAAGGGGTGGGGAGCTGGCACTGGGTGCTGGCAGGAAATGCTGGGAGCTCCAGAAACACCCCAGCCCAACCTGGGGAGTGGTCACTGCGTAGCCAGGGCTGAAGGGTTGCTGGGGGACAGGGGGTAGGGCATTTGTCCTGTGCTCGAGGGGAGATGCACCCCTCTGCTCCCCCCGTTCCCCTGCCTTATCCCTGAGCCTGGTCCTTTCACAGGCTTCCTGTCACTGAGCGCCTCCCCATGATGCTGCAGGTCCGAGCCGATTGGCACCACGGAGTGGGCCTGAGGAATGGCCTGGGCTGGGTCTTCTGTGGCTGTTGGGCTTCTTGGGGGCTCAGAGATTTGCAGCTGCAGAAAATTATCCTGGATTTACCCCTCAAAGCGACAGTCTTTGCCTTTGGCCTTGTCCATACACAGCCTGGCAGCAGGTTGGTCAGACGGGGGCAGATCCCTGTGTGGACACAGCCAGAGTGGTTGGAAGCTGGGTCTGTGCCTTTAGTTACCCTGCAAAGCATGGGCCTTGTTTACTTGGGAAAGTTGCACTGGTTTTAACCTAAATCAGTTCTTGATTTAAACTGATGTGGTTGAACAGCACCAGCCCCGGGGTGGACACATATTCTGGTGTAGTTTAGCCTGCTCTACACACAGTTCTGCCGTCAGTTTGCGGTGTGAGTTTTTACTGATATACCTAAGGCTCCGAGTCTTTCACAGAGGTCATGAAGTCAGGGATTCCATGACTTTCCGGGACCTCTGTGACTTCTGCAGCGGCTGGTGCAGCTGGCCCCAGGGCTGCCTGAGGAGCTGGGGTGGCCCTTGGGCCAGCCGCACTGGCTGCTGCTCTGGTGGCCCCAGGCAGCTGGTCCCAGGCGCTGTCCAGGAGCAACAGCGGTGCCCCAGGCTGCCCCGCCCCCAGCGGCAGTGGCAGGGCTCCAGAGCGCCCCCCCGCACAGAGCAGTAGCGTCCGCAGGAGCACCCCCAGCACCTAAGATTTAGTCACGGGTATTTTTAGTAAAAGTCATGGACAGGTCACGTGCCATGACTTTTTAGTTATTGCCCATGACCGGTCCATGACTTTTACTAAACATACCCCTGACTAAATCATAGCCTTAGTTATACCGCTTCCAGCCCCCATCCTTGTGGGGATGCACTTATACTGTATAAAGGTGCCTTAGACCAGTCTAGCTTATTCCCCTCCCCCATAGGACTAGCTATCCTGGGACAAGCACCTTTGTACCTGAACCCAAGGTGGCAGCGGTGATGCTCTAGGCGGAGGGGTTTGCCTCTGGTGGCACGTTCACACCCACAACTGGCCAGTTCAGGGCTGGTTCAGGAAGCTCCTGCCTTCCTCGCTGATTCTGAGCTCTTCCATAGCAGTGTCTGTGGATGACGCTTTCTCCCATCTCCAGTTGGCTGAGACACTGTCCCATGCTAGCAGGTGAGGACTTGGCTCTTGTTATTCATACCTTCACCACCTTCCAGCTGGATCTATGCAGTGATAGACCTAGGCACCAAGCCTTCAGCACTTGAGAAACTCCAGCTAGTACAGCCTGTCTACTCAGCAACCTTGAGCACATCAGCCAATCAGTCCATCTCCTACTCTCTATGCTGCCTTCCCACAGAGCAGAGTCAAGTCCAAGGTCTCAGTCTGTATCTTCAAGGTGCTCAGCAAGCATAGCTGAAAGAGCCTCACATTGCAGGATGAAGACCGTGGGCGATAACTGCTCCACAGGTCCTATGGAACGCTCTACAATCATAGAATCATAGAATATCAGGGTTGGAAGGAACCTCAGGAGGTCATCTAGTCCAACCCCCTGCTCAAAGCAGAACCAATCCCCAACTAAATCATCCCAGCCAGGGCTTTGTCAAGCCTGACCTTAAAAACTTCAAAGGAAGGAGATTCCACCACCTCCCTAGGTAACACATTCCAGTGCTTCACCACCCTCCTAGTGAAAACGTTTTTCCTAATATCCAACCTAAACCTCCCCCACTTCAACTTGAGACCATTGCTCTTTGTTCTGTCATCTGCTACCACTGAGAACAGTCTAGATCCATCCTCTTTGGAACCCCCTTTCAGGTAGTTGAAAGCAGCTATCAAATCCCCCCTCATTCTTCTCTTCTGCAGACTAAACAATCCCAGTTCCCTCAACCTCTCCTCATAAATCATGTGCTCCAGCCCCCTAATCATTTTTGTTGCCCTCCGCTGGACGCTTTCCAATTTTTCCACATCCTTCATGCAGTGTAGGGCCCGAAACTGGACACAGTACTCCAGATGAGGCCTCACCAATGTTGAATAGCGGGGAATGATCACATCCCTCGATCTGTTGGCAATGCTCCTTCTTATACAGTCCAAAATGCTATTAGCCTTCTTGGCAACAAGGGCACACTGTTGACTCATATCCAGCTTCTCGTCCACTATAATCCCTAGGTCCTTTTCTGCAGAACTGCTGCCTAGCCATTTGGTCCCTAGTCTGTAGCGGTGCATGGGATTCTTCCGGCCTAAGTGCAGGACTCTGCACTTGTCCTTGTTGAACCTCATCAGATTTCTTTTGGCCCAATCCTCTAATTTGTCTAGGGCCCTCTGTATCCTATCCCTCTGTATACTATCCCTATCCTATCTCCAGCGTATCTACCTCTCCTCCCAGTTTAGTGTCATCTGCAAACTTGCTGAGGGTGCAATCCACGCCATCCTCCAGATCATTAATGAAGATATTGAACAAAACCAGCCCCAGGACACTCTGCTTGATACCAACTGCCAACTAGACATGGAGTCATTGATCACTACTCATTGAGCCTGATGATCTAGCCAGCTTTCTATCCACCTTATAGTCCATTCA